TATCTCTTCGATTATCCTTGTCCACAAATGGGAATCCACAGCTTGACTCGGATCAAATTTCAAACCTTTTTGGATCTCACCACGATTTGCTGGTGGTTGAAATTCGGGTTTAACTTGACCTTAAGCTGCTTCGACTTAGTGCGTGGTGGCTTTTGCCGCTGGTGTTGTGACAAAGCCCATGCAATATATTCAGCCCAACCACCAAAACCGGTTCTTGCGCTGCCTGCTGGGCTGGCTCATTTCTTGCCGAGTTACCTTGACCACCTCGGCTATTAGGCTTCATACTTCTTGGGATGAATGAATGCAGCGGCTGTTGAGTTGCGTTTGCATCGTACTCTTAATAGCAATCGTGTTAGAATTTCCGGTGCACGTATCTAATTACAACTTCTAATTACTGACAGTTTTATTTCGTTTGATGTATGAAATATTACAGTGATAGCTAGTGTGAAGCACTAGCTATATACAGTGTGGGAGCTAGTGAAGTGATATATTACAGTGGGAGCTAGTGAAGTGGTGATATGATGAATATTGCACGACAACAATATTTGGTGGAGGCGATATGTTTACTTCAAAAATGTTTTTGAATCGTGCGTTACTTAGGCTTTGTTTGCGTGGTTGGAATATGCACGCATTGTTATTGAGTTTCCTGTTTCGCAAGCTAGGAAATACATGACCAAGCATTGCAGCGTGGGCCGCTGTTCATTCGTTGGTCGGGCATGTGGCGTGCATCTGTGTAGACTCCCGCCGGTTCAGCGCCGTGCTCTTACTCACGCCTGCGCCTGCAGCACTTATAGCGCATGCCGCATATGGACGGCGTCTTCATAACGCACCTTGCGCAGCGTATGGACGGCGTCTTCATAACGTGCCTTGCGCAGCGTATGGACGGCGTCTTCATAACGTGCCTTGCGCAGCGTATGGACGGCGAGCATGGACGGCGTCTTCATAACGCGCCTTGCGCAGCGTATGGACGGCGTCTTCATAACGCGCCTTGCGCAGCGTATGGACGGCGTCTTCATAACGTGCCTTGCGCAGCGTATGGACGGCGCATTCAACTAGATTACCGATATTAGTAAAATGAGTAAGACTCCCATGGCGAAAAATTATGCTCCTTTTCAAAGTGGGAATACATTCCAAGTATTTTGCATTCATCAAGCATAGATTGAATAATTTGAATGATTTTTAAGCTGCTGAAAAAATATATTTTAATTGAGTAAATTCCACTGTAAGTCATTTCTCAGTCTGTCTATCATGTTTTGATGATAGAAGATTGTCAATATCGATAGAAGAAACGGTATATCGTACAGACGTACACGAATGCGCCAGGGGAGTCCATGAACAATTTTTCATTGCAAATTGAATTGCTACAGCCAACAAGTATTATCAAGGGAATCTGGGATAGTTTGTTTTCGCTTTGCTTTATGATGTCTCGCGCCACGTTAGTGTTGCAGTCTCGTTGATGTCTCGCGTCACGTTAGTGTTGCAGCCTCTTTGATGTCTCGCGTCAAGTTAGTGTTGCAGTCTCGTTGATGTCTCGCGTCACGTTAGTGTTGCAGTCTCGTTGATGTCTCGCGTCACGTTAGTGTTGCAGTCTCGTTGATGTCTCGCGTCACGTTAGTGTTAGTCTCGTTGATGTCTGGCCGTTGGTATTACAGTCTCGTTGATGTCTCGCGTCTCGTTGGTATTACAGTCTCGCTGATGTCTCTTGAGTGCCCTCAAGTGGCTGCTCCCTCGCGTCCTCGCTTCCTTGCCGTTCATTGCTCAGGGATCTCAGTGAACCCCAAACCTCACGACGTCTGCTACAAAACTCATCCACTCCTGAATGAATAAATAAGTGTCCATATCATCTAGATATTTATATTGCAATCATAGTGAAATATGTAGCAAACTATTGTAAATTAATGTTGACGGAAAAATCCCATTGTAAATTCTAGTAATGGTATTCACATGCCTCGACGCACAAAAGAATATTTCTTCACTAACACGCGATCTGCAGCTGGATTAGTCGTTCTTGTCAGCCTACGCGACGACTGCTGCCCTGCGGTGCGTTAACGCCTTGACCTGCCGCGCCTTCTGACCGCTCAACACCTGCTCATGCTGCTGCAATTTGTTCGTAATGATGAAATTTGTTCATAATGCTGTAATTTGTTCATAATGCTGAAATTTGTTCGTAATGCTGAAATTTGTTCGTAATGATGAAATTTGTTCGTAATGATGAAATTTGTTCGTAATGATTTGTTTAAAGTGCTGTAATTTGTTCATAATGCTGTAATTTGTTCGTAACGATGAAATTTGTTAGTAATGCTGAAATTTGTTCGTAATGATGAAATTTGTTCGTAATGATGAAATTTGTTCGTAATGATGAAATTTGTTCGTAATGCTGAAATTTGTTCGTAATGATGAAATTTTTTCGTAATGATGAAATTTGTTCCTAATGATGAAATTTGTCCGTAATTCTGTAATTTGTTCGTAATGATGAAATTTGTTTGTAATGATGAAATTTGTTCTAAATGAAGAAATTCGTTCGTAATGATAAAATTTGTTTAAAGTGCTGTAATTTGTTCATAATGCTGTAATTTGTTCGTAACGATGAAATTTGTTAGTAATGCTGAAATTTATTCGTAATGCTGAAATTTATTCATAATGATGAAATTCGTCGTAATGCTGAAATTTGTTCGTAATGATGAAATTTGTTCGTAATGCTGAAATTGGTTCGTAATGATGAAATTTGTTCGTAATGCTGAAATTGGTTCGTAATGATGAAATTGGTTCGTAATGATGAAATTTGTTCGTTACGACGAAATTTGTTCGTTACGTTGCAATTTGTTTGTTATGATGAAATTTGCTCGTAATTGGTTAGATTTCTTTCTCTAGTTATTTCACAGCTTCATAGGGCCTTGAACTTGATGAGCTTTCAATATCATTTTTCACTGATCAAGTCTAATAATTAATTGTAATTCTCTCGAATTTTTTTCTTTATATAGCGATCAATATTACTGTATGTGGCAAATGGTCTAAATTGTTGCCTAGTTGGAGCTTATTGATTTCAGTTATTGAGTGCAATCGGGCATTTGACTGGTGTCCTTGAATGTCCATTTGCACTCTAGCTAAGCGACTTTAGAGCCATTATCAAGCGAGTAGAAGTAAGGCTATCACCTGCTTGGCTTGACCACGAGCGCCACTCCTTATTATCTGCCCAGTGTCCAGGCTGTGATCGACATTCAAATGATGCACTGCAAGACCCAGTCCCTGTCTACTGCATTGTTGCAGCTACAAACATAACATATTTACCTATATATTCAACTCATTATTTGTATACAGAGCGAGCGCCATGTACAAACGTCTCAAAATCCTTGGATAATCCCATGCTCGTCTCAAATTGAAATTATTTTCCATTATATATATTTTGGTGTGATTTCGTATTTTGAAACATTCTAATCTTAATAGATTAAGAGCTAATCATTGAAAGAATCCGGCAATTTATCGTAACTGATTTTAAGTAAAATTTTAGTCTTTTTGTATTATATTTTGTATAATATTCACAAACTGCATGTAAAAAGACAATAAATTGGTTTCACATTAAGACGAAATAGGTACATTTATTCTCGATGCAACGTGAGAAGATAATGACAGTTCACTTCGGGTATATATGTACGTGTCATATTCTTTTGCAATGTACACCGTTCTCCCAACAGAATGATTTGCCTGAAACGCAAGTTTTTATTTTATGCCAGTGTTTTGTAGACAATCACTGAGCCAATCGGCAATTAACAATCATTGCAGAACTTGTAGCCCTGATACGACACGTCAACTTGTCAAGATTTTTAGGCTCCACACATTGCTCAATTGGCGTCCCTTACATTTTTGTTAGAAGGATATTCCAACAAAGTGTTGTTCATTTTATTTATTTATGCAAAAATTTACTACTTCTATTTTAAAAAATTGTGTTTAAGCCGGCACATGTATTAACATTTTTCTATTAGAACCCGATAAATTTTATAAGAACATTACGTTAAATTTGTAAATTGTTTTTGAATAGGCTGGATTGTCGTAATTTATGACCAGGAAGCGCTAGCCTTATAATTTCTCACACAAAAAAATATCTTCAATTTGATTGCACTTTCTCTACGCAATAAGTTAGCAATGAGGGTCATCCAATTTCTTAATGAGGGACTTTGTATAGTTTAACTCACACAGTCTGTGCTTTATAGACGCGTAGAAGCTCCATATTTGCCTATACATGTTCTGACGTGGGCGGCCTTATCTGGGCCAATCGAATCATTCATATTCTGTTTGCATCGTTTGGGGAAGTTGATCGCTCCATCCTTTTTGTGGCGCAATAAATTGAATGCCAGTGCCTAGGTAAATTATTTTTGTCCTTCAACACAACACCAGGAGATTTAAGTTATTGAATTATATATCATTTTCTAAACTAGATATTACGTGTCTAAACGATCCTCTTCTCCAATGAACTGGAACGATCCCAAGACAATTTTTTTTTGCCAAACCATAGCCAATTTAACTCGAATAACTACGCAATTTTCTTATTGTGTCATTTACTCTTATTGTTTTGTTTCAACTGTATATGAGTTTTATTTGTATTGAATATAAATTGTTTCACAGCTTAATTTCCCAATTCTTTTGATCACCAGACTCTTTCATCGATAAGTTGCACTGCCTCCATGATGAAAGCTGGCGGCAGAGGGTAATTAGCTTGTCATTCTATAACTTCCAGAAAGAATGTTTAAAAGCTGCCGCCGATTAGCTGGTTAACTTCTCGAGCCGCTCTTTTTTTCGCTATATTTTGTTTGTTCAGCTGATTTAATAATTTTTCAACAATCAGGGAAATGCTGTATTGGATTAAAATAATGATTTTGACTTCAACGAGCAGTCGGAAGGCAACGAACATAGCTTGTTAAACCGTTTTTTTTGTGCTGCGTTTTAGGTTAATTATGTATCGAGTTCCTTGTGCATCAATTGCAATATCGTATTTTCTATTTCAGACGTACGTGCGAGATCCCAACCTTCAAGATAAACCTCAAAATGTCTTCAAGGCCAGTTCTGGCACCAGCACAAGTGCTAATGGCTGCGCGAGTGCTGGAAGCGCCAGTAATTCAGTCACTGCAGTGTTGCACAACAAAGAGAACACCCGTCCCGGTGCTGCTGCCAGCAGTTCACAGCTCAAATCATCGCTGGCAGGAAGTGTGTATGCCGCTGGCAGCGGATCTTCTAATTCCTCTGCGGGAGGTTTTGCTGGCAGCTCGCCTGTCAGTCCGTCGCACATGTCCTCTTCACAGCAGTCATCTGCTGGCAGATCTGGCGCACCTCCCTCTGCGAGAAGACTCGCCAAGACTTCCTCTAAAAATATCATTATTCCTAAGTAAGTTCTTGACATATTCTGGTTCATTAGATTAACCAAAGTAATGGCAGAGTTTTACTGCGAGTGTCAACCATTTATGTTTTACATTATTTATTACTGAATTTTTATTGCTTGTGTAGGTTGCCTTAAAGGCCATGAGCATGAACTGAACGTCTTGCGGTTGATGCTCATGGGTCGATATTTCCCCTCTGCCTCCTTACTTTACCTGCTGATGTTAACGCCCCTCGCCTGAGGGACGCGTTTGTGCTGAGGGAAGATGCCGAGTTCCACCTTAACTCCAGTTTACTTTCATGTATATTTTGTATACAATTTTTAGAATCAATGGTATGTTCAATTTTGTTCTCATCTTCTCCAGACGAAGCGCGAAATTTTTAAAAATTGGTTTTGAATTTTAAATTTTACAGTAAACAATGAAATTTAATTGATCGTTCACCACATTCATCTCGTTCGTACACCACATTAATCTTGTTCTGACATCGCATTCAACTTGTGGCAGAGTGCATGAGTTGTGCTCTTGCTAGAAGGTTTTGAGCAGCGTCAAGTAGCGGAAGCTCTTGAACTCACTTCTTCACACTTTTTCACCTAGTGTAACAGCCTCTATTTGATTCTTTTCCTTACTCGTTTACAAGTATCGGCTTCTCTCAATCACGCTTCTTTATTTCATTTTTGTTCAATTATTTTTTTTGTCTCAGAGTTCTTTTACTGATTTTGTCTTTATTGCAAAGACTACCTTAATGTAATCTTGTCTGTCATATTTTCTTGTTCTACCCTACGCTTGTTGTGCTGCTGCGTTGTCACCTGCGCTCGTTTTCAGTATCGATTTTAGGGTCATGCTGTTCTCTCGTGCATCGATTTTCGCTCCCCTTGATATTCTTAAAGCTACTTTGTTCTTGTTAATGCTTGCACAATATTTTGCTTTCAACCATTGCGACAATTTCCTTGAAGTGATGCATGTTTTTAGTGAGAAATTTAGTATAAATATAATAAATCTGCGAAACGCTGAAGCTCATTCCTTTTTGGGTTTATCTCGACGAAGTTCATTAATTAAAATATACCTTTTCCTACTATTCACGGTTTTAGTTAATTAAATTTTACCACGTTCTTATTTTTCGAGTCAATTTTGATGCTCTTGAGCTACTGACAATGAAGGGTGGGGAGGCTTTGTGTTCTTCGTTTCGCTTTCACTGCCTTCAGATTGCCCGCCGATATTTATTGTCATCCTTTGTCGTAAAATCCGCCAGCTTGTAATATCTGATATATATTTCAAGAAACGAAGCCTTATTGTATCCTTTTTTTTATCGCCAAACGGTTTTCACTGTTTTTAGTTTCTCGTTAAGAAATCTGATGGATGTTTTTTTTCAATTCCGTTCTATTTCGCGTTTTCCAATGAATCATGTTTTGTATTGTAGTCTATCTCACGGTGTCGTGACACTTTAGAGCCAAATGTTGCAGATCTCATCTTGCGTCGAATTTGGTTCTGTCGGTGAAGGTTCGTGGCTACGCTTGAGCAATAGCATAGCAACGTTCCATGTTTGATCGTGTGTGACAGACCTCAGTTTGAACTCATCTCTCTCACATCGATATTTTTCTTCATCTGTCATTCTTTTCATCGATGTTTCTCATCAGCTGTTTTTCTCATCATCTTTGTTTCTCATCATCTACCGGTATGTTTCTCATCATCTACGTTTCCAATTATCTACGTTCTCTTATCTACATTTTTTCATTAATGTTTCTATCCAACAACCGTTTTCTCCCGTTTCAGATGAGACATTTCATTAGTATCGCCGACGCCTAGTTTATTCTGTTTTTTTTTTCTTCTTAAACGTATTTAGAAGTTGACATTTCACTATGTGCATTAGTTTATCGACTACTTTTCATTTGTTTTCTTGCCTCCTCCATCTGTTATCATGTAGTGTGTTGGCAGTGCCGTCAACTTGATTACCTATAATACTCTGCGATAGTAAAACTCTGCACTTCGTGATTGTTATATCCCAGATTGTAATAATCTGCACTTCGTGATTTTTATACCGGTATCCTGGCTTATAATACTCTGCACTTCGTGATTGTTATATTCTACACGTTATGTGTAATCATGCACTTTGTTTGCAGGTTCTACTTCCCACAAGGGCGACCCACGACGCCGGCGCAGCAGGAGGCGAGCGTGCAGCGGGTGGTTGCTTGCTTCAGGGACCACGGCGGCCAGATAACGAGAGACCAGCTCGCCGTCCTCATGCGGGCCTGCGACCTGCCGCTCTACTGGAAGGCGCCTGTCTTTGTTGCTGCTGGGGGGGAGAAGCTCGGCTACCTCACCCAGGAACTCTTCACTGATTACTGGACCAGGTGTGCTTTGGTTGCACTTAATTCTGCAATATTATCACGGACGTTATCGTTCGTTATTTAGTGCGATACATCTATTCTAATTTTGGTTATTACTGGGGAATGTATTTTTCGAGTACTTCCTTGCCTTGGGAATGCCAAACTTTAAAGGCTACTCTTAATCATTTTCTTGTATTTTTTTTCACTAAACTGCCTTGAATTTAACATTCATTTATTGTTTATGTCCCAAACAATTGAGTACAGCCTGTGAAAGATGCGATGCTTCTATTTATCCAACGTTCATCTTATTAATCGTTAAAAAAAAATTTTTTGGAGCCGATTGAAGCTCATTTTATTAATTGTTTTTAACAAAAAAAAAGTTTTTTGTAGTCGATTGATCGTATGTTGGTCGCACAACATCATCGCAAGAAGCCCATTAGTCACCAAGTTTGTCCATGTCTCAGGGTGTTGTCGACGTGTCACGACGAAGCGTCGCGCTTCATCCACGTGCTCAGCAGAGGCGCGCGTAATTACATCCTCCCTGAAGACCTGGTCGGCCTCATACAAGACGTCGTAGACTCGCACCCTGGCCTCGCCTTCCTTAAAGACGCCGCAGAATTCCATTCACGATACGTGCACACGGTGGGTTTGTCTTCACTCCCGATACGTGCACACGGTGGGTTTGCCTTCTATTTCACTTCCTAATACGTGCACATCTGTCTCTTATACACATCTAGATGTGTATAAGAGACAGACAGTTGCAGGTGTATGACGTGTTTGATGTTGCAGATGTATGACGTGTTTGATGTTGCAGGTGTATGACGTGTTTGATGTTGCAGGTGTATGGATATCGACGGAGACGGCTTTCTCTCAATGTATGAACTCGAGTACTTCTACGAAGAGCAGCTACAGCGCATGGAGGCGCTCGGAATAGAAACTTTGCCTTTCCACGATTGTCTCTGCCAGGTATCCATCATATTTAATGATCTGCTAGAGTTCTTGTTGTTCTGTTTAATATTGCCACGCATATCTTGAAAAATATAGTTTATTTTATGACTCTTTCCCTTAAAATTAACTTTTTCCTTGGCCTCACATCGATTTTTTGTTAGCATTTGAGAATATAATGAATCAATTTTCTGCCCGAGTTATCGTACTGTCACTTTTATATGAAAATTTTTATTTTTATTTTTTGGTTTCCAATATAATTTTCTTTACCTGACCCTCGCACTGCTCTTCCAATTAATGATTGAGAAGGAAAATAAAAGCCTTCGATTTTCGTCAGATGCTGGATATGGTTCGGCCTGAATTCCCAGACAAAATTTCACTAACTGATCTCAAGAGATGTCGAATGACTCCCATCTTTTTCGACACTTTCTTCAACCTGGAAAAATATCTTGACCACGAACAACGAGATCCCTTCGCTTCACATCGCGCTGAGGACGACGGACCGGAGGTATGAACCTCACTTATGTTGATGTCTCGTATATTTGTCACAAGTTGTTTGTCGATTTGCAAGAAAACTTGACACTAAAATCCTAAGTTCTAGAAACCTTGTATTCTTGTGTAAAGATTCAAAGTCGAATGTGCAGAGTAGCCTCGCGTTAGTGTCGTAGTAGGTTTTGTATGTAATGCACGTTAGATTTTAAATTAAAGTTGATAATTGCTACTGATTCAACTTGATATTGAAAATCGCTACTTTTTTAGTGATATTAGAACTTGGAGGCGATGATGATTGTGAATTGAAGTTATTGCATACATATACCGTGATAAAATAGTATTACCTCTTAATAAAGCTCTTATATCCTTTTCTTTTTATGATTGAAATTTGCATGAAATTTTCTTTTTCAGACTTCTGATTGGGACAGATTTGCTGCTGAGGAATATGAACTTCTTGTGGCAGAGGAGGGCGGAGCTGATCCACAAGATGACATGTAAGCTCAGATGATGGGCTAATGATCCGCTAAGGCGCATTGCGAGCGCCTTTTAGGATTATCACTCATATATATTGCTGGAAAAATTATGCGTTTTAGATTTGGGTACATCTTCAATATGAGGCCTATTGCGATAAATATATTCTTCTGCACATAATATGAGTATTAAAATATTTCTGATAGATATTTTACGTTTTGAAATGGTCGATTGAGGTCTCTGTGACGAACAAATACTCTATTGTTCACTCGCTGTTCTACCAACCTATTTAAACTGAGGGATAAATCTTGGTTTCTATCCATGTTTTGTAATGTTCGTAGCCTGTGCATCAGCTGGAATATTTTACTTACAGGATTGGAGAAGAAAGTATGTGAGGCAGCTTATAGTGAGCTCGAGGTGGGAGTTTCTCAATTGCGTTCATTTCTGTGTTCTTTCGTTCACAATTTTGGTTCTTCGTCATTGCTGCGTTAATCTTTTCTTTGTGTGGCGGATTTATAGTGTAGTTTGTAGTTGTGCGAACAAATTAATTAATCTCGTTCACAAAACACATTAGGACATTCAATGTTCACCATGAAGCATGAGAATTCTTGGTTTGAACACCTCGAGCCTTTTGTTTAAACTTTGTCGCGCTTTAAACTTTCCTTCATATTAATTGCGTCCTTCATATTATTAGTCTACTTGACTAATTCAGCCACGCTTACATTGTTTTCAATAGTTTCAAGTCTACATACTGCTAATGTTTCCATTACTTTGAGCCTCCGAAACGTAAAGCGCCAGCTGTATGCGTTCAATAAATTGAATTCAACTTCATCTTAACTGAAATACACTCAAAATAATCTTAAGTGAAAAAATAATCTTGTCATCAGTGGAGATTATTTATGTGTGAAAAAAACGAGTTTGAGCTCTCGTCGGACTCGCGCTTGGTCGCTCGTGAACAGCGGTGTAGCTTTTCGCTGAGAATTTTTTTTCCTGTTTAGACGCTGTTTTTAACAGAAGCTTTTTGTGGGATTTAATTTGCTATAAAATATGTTGCTCGGCTAACTTTTGTTTAATTAACGTTGTGTGTTCCAAATTATTGTTTGAAACCAACCTTTAATTCTGTTTTGGCTAAATACTGAGCCCTGAATGACCTATAATTTGCTTTTCGTCTGATAATGTCCGACCGACTTGAGTCTCTTTACTCCCAACTGAACTCCTACCTACGTTTGTTGTTTTATCCGCAGTGTGCTTGTTGTGAGTAGGTTACTTGTGGTGCACAGCGAGCAACGCACTTTTATACTGGGCGATAATTTGAAGAAATTCATTTTTTTTTCATCATTCACTCGAGGTCATCTTGTAGGGCTGTGTGCTAATTTTGTAGGTACATGTAAAGGCAATTGCAAAATTCAATTAGTTTTCAATGATTTATGATTCACAGAATTATGCTCACAACGTACTGAACAAAAAGTTTAACTGGTTACTTGCAGAGAAACATAGCCGCTCATGTAGAATCGACCAAAGAAACTGCGCTTTGTCTATCATTTGCCAAGGTCCCGTTTATTTTCCCCACGTTGCTACAGCCATCATAATTCATTATAATTCCCTATTGAATAGATAAAAAGTTGTAGTTGAATAGTTCCCTACAAATAAAACATGTTTTGTTTGCAGGGGTTACGGTGCTGAAGATGAGCTATCAGCTGGCCTAGAGGCAGTTCTAGCGCGTGGCGGCGGCGGCGTTGACGGAATCAACGACGTCTGTCCAGACTCTCTCTCGACCACCACCTCCATAGATGCTGGACGCTCCGTCGGCCTTAACAAACACTCGAGCCTCTCAGCCACGCTCACCAACCTTGCCGTGGATGCCATGGATGTGGATGATGACTACGCGGACTATGTCGACAGCGACGACTATCACTACTGACCAATGAAGAGCCTCTCAGCCACGTTCACCAACCTTCTCGTGCATGATAACTCGGTGGCTTGCATATGGATGATAACTACGCTGTCACTTCTGGCAAATGTGATGTGTGGGTCTGCAATGCTCGCTGTGTGCGTAGCCTTAAGGCTCCCGTCTAATGAATTACAAATATAACTGCTACAAGTTACCGTTACAACATTTTGTACGACTCATTGAGTACTAGACAGCACTAGGTATAAAATGTATTCATTATTGAAGCCAGCTACGTTTTTACTTGAAAACCTTCGTTTTCAATGCGATGCTAGAGTTATGGTAAAAAGTAATATGTATCGCACCAATCGATGCAAAGTATCTACCTACGTTAAAAGGAAACTATCTTATTCTTCAAGAAAGTTGAATGCTTAAAATGCGTGAAATAGTTCTGTGAACAAGCGGCTATTAATAATGTTAATTATAGTTCTCGCTTCATCATAGATTCAGTTCAGTTGTTCAAAGTTTTGGAAAAGTACTCTAGGCAATAATTTAGAAATTAGTTAGGAGTGTTCATGATATTGAAGGATGATGTCCTAGCGTGCGCGTCATATTTTGAATCTTCTATGTTACGATCATTAAAATTGATCGTGAGAGAATCATTTATCCACGCTATGGCCTATATACTCAATGCCATCCATATTGAGCAATGCCATCCACTCGAGTATTGAGGTGGTTGTTGTTGAAATATGTGACACAGGTGATGTGTATAGTTTTCTAGAGTCACACATATTGAAACCAATCGGTTCACTGAAAATATTCTAGTTTACCATTTTTGTATCGCCTGTTATTAATGTTATAATGCAAAGTAAATTAGTTGTCCCTAAATGCGTGCGTACTTTGCTGAATTCGAGATTCATTAAGTGCCTTAGCAGCCACGACTATGTACTTCTCATCTCATTCTGGCTAATTCCACTTGCTGCATATTATGGCGCGTTCCGTTTATTTAACGCCACAAGTTTTGATAAAAATCTATCAGTGAAAAAACCTCTCGTTGAAATCGCTAAAAATTAATTTTGAATTTAAAAGGAAATTGAATCCAAAGTAAATTATAGTAGATTTCTTAAAATAATTGCTTTGGGGTCCAATTATGTTTACCCTGAGACTCTTTTAGGCCGAGCGTAGCGTTTATCTGCCTGCTTGCATTAAAGGAAGACATTCTGTTTTGGGTCCCCTGGAATAAATAGACGGCTGCAGGGGGGTAAATCTTAGCTCTCACTTAGCGCTGCTTGTATATCTTCATTGATGTAAATATTGTAAATATTAGCCCCTTCATACTCAAGTGCCTCCATCACCGTGCGTTATTGTAGAAGCCGCATTGCAAAGTACCTCAACTCTGAGCTCAATTCAAGAGACACACAATGATTTAATATTGAAATGTTTGGTTCGAAGACTTCATTATTTCTTAAGTGTAATAGATCATTGTTATTTAAAATGGTTTGTCGACGTTTAAACAATTTTCGTTTCGTAATCTAAGACCACGTAGTGATTGAGATTGAACAAAGATCAATTCAAATGTAATTATAATTCAGTTGTGCATGTGGAAATTTCCCTGAATTTTAGAATTGTACTCAAGATTGGTTTATTTGCTGAGTGTAAATACTTGTAATAGCTTACAAGGCTCATTATAATTGGTGATGTTAATCCTGCGACAATTAATAAGTAAAGGATCGGTTATGATCTGATGGTCGACAACCGAGTTCTGGCGACTACAGGCTGGATGAGCTACTATGTAGCGTGGAGATTTTTCCTGTATGTTCATTTCTTCCTCAATTTATAACCATAATGAAGCTCATAAATACCTAAACGGACTTAATAAAACTTTATTTGGCCTTCACTAACTCCAAAAACTTGTATTAGTTTTGAAACACGTTAAATTTTGATATAAAAATTTCGTGCTGTCTCCTATATTTCTCTCGAGAAAGCGTCTGTCACTCGTGTGAAATTATCATGAATAAGAACTTCTAACCGTAATCTGCTATTATAATTTAAGAATGTTTAATTTGACCCTTCTGGTTTTCTGTAAATGAATTCAAAAATATCAAATAAAGTGCCAAATGATTTCTGTATTAAATTATAATCTATTAAAGTTGTAAGAAATGGTTTGAATGATAATGTTTGTTCGTGCAGTTGAACCAAACAATTGGTAATTCTTAAATTCTTTATCGTGACTGGCATGCTTTTCATCTCACGATTATTTTGTCTCCCATTACTTTATACCGAAATAATCCCTAACACCATCAGCTGCGGGTATAGTCATTTAGTGCATGTAAATGATAGTGGCGTGAGTTATCCACAATCATTATCCGCCTAGGTAATAAGTACTCGTACGATTATAGTTCCATTCCTGTGTGGAATTGCGAGCTCTGTACTGCATTTTTTGTACTCGATTGCTGTACGAGTTTATTTCTCTGATGTATTGTTGTAAACTCGGCCCACTTGTAGTAATTTTTTTTTCATATTCATTCATTTTACTTCTAATTGTGATTATCCGTTTAACGGCCACCAGAAACTAGTCATAGTCTTGCTTAATCCTTCCTTTTTCGTGCCCTTTACGTGATTACGATGATGACTTGAGGTATCATTAACGATGGTTCATTTTATGAATGATCCTTACAAGCAATTATCATTTGAAATTTTTGATACTCATTGAAATTATTTGAAAGGAAGTTTTTGCTCTACGCCGAACTCTAGAAATGAACTATCCTTCCAAAGATATTAAGTCGCTGACTAGGGTTGAGCGGGACTCACGTGATGAGCTGAGTATTGTAATGAGTAAAGAGTTTTAATTAATAAATACAAAGTTTTACATATTGAATTGTCTCTGAAAGCCTTTTATTGAGATTATGGGGGGGGGGGCTTAGGCGGCAGGCTCACTATATTCATCACGATTGTTCACTGTACAAGAGACAATTTTTTATCTGTCTTACACGTTCTAGTGAAATCACTAATAAAATATAATCTAATTTGTAGATGATTGATATATTAAATTCCACTAGTTGAGCTCCACTTCATTTGTTTTCTAACCAATGAAAATGGAAGAACTATTTAAAATTGAAAGTGTCCTCAGTTTGAAATGAGGTGGAGTTAAAATAATCAGGCAGCTTCTCATTCAGTAATGGAAGAAAAACTTATCACTTAAAACCAGAAACTCGAGTTAAAATTATTAATTAAGTGGTCACAATTCTATGGTGAAGAAGTCAATCTCATTTCACAGACTCTTGAGTTTCAACGTAATGATCAATTTAACATGCGTTAAAATTGTTCATGAACGACCTGTGAAGAATCGTAAGCAAAGTTGTAGTGAAGTACTTGAAACTGAACTTAACGTTCAAGTCGCTTTTTCGATTTAAATTTATGCTTGATTCAAAATTGCGTTACAAAAATATTTAATTGTGAAGTGAGTTACACTATTTCAAATGAAAGTGTACATTCAAAAGTATGGCATCACCTGCATTGAACTTAAGAGTTTCAAGATTGGCGCAATGCAGATCAGGATTATGGTGCCATCTAATTGCCATTTAAGGCATTATGGGCGATAGAATGGGTGATACCGCTACTCCATAATCTGCTAAGACCATGCCAGGTTGTAAGGGCTGGATAGTGATCACTATACTTCGTACACGCCACGCGAGCGAAGCGTGTTAGAGATCATAATTCTTGCTGCGCGCCAACCGCACACCGGAGTTCTTGTACATACACGCCCGAATTGATTATTCAGTAATCATTGGATTCAATTTTCCACGCCGTAATAATTAAATATCCTTGTGCAAACAAATCTACATTATTTAATACCACTTGCACGTTCTCCTTCCACCGGATATTGAACCGTTATTGAATCACAAGTTAAATCAATTGTCAATGAGAATTTCCCAGCAATTGCTGGGAAATCGTCAGCCAGGCACAGCAACATAAAAGGAAGCAGATCACTTGAGTTTGCCTTGGCAGCGCTATTGGGTGTTCAATGACAATTATTGACCTGAAAGTGTACCTGTTCAAGCGATTTTCTAGGAGACGAACCAAAAATATGCTGATGTTGATAACGTTTGGTTCATTCGAGTGAGATGCTCGAGCTTTGACACGAACAGCAGCGGAGCATGGAGTCGTTAGTTTACCGCTCGAGGTTATTAATGTGTTAATGGTCTCATTAGCATTAGAAATGCGATCATATGAATGTGCTGCGCTTCAAATGTTGATTCGCAGAACACTGCTCTGTAATGGCAGCGCGCAGTTGTTTGATGTTCATTGCTTAGCGGAATGTAGTTTGTTGATGATCGGTGCACAGTTGTTGAATGCTAAGAGCACAGTAGTGTGATGCTCAGCGAACATTAGTTTTAAGTTCAAAGCAAAGTAATTAGATGGTACTGAAAAATAGATATATACTTTTACTCGGATCGTTATTTGGCTTTGAGCTGGAGCTTTCCTAAGGATAGCACGACAATGTCGTAACGCACTAATGTTATGATGAGACTATCATACGTAGCTAAAAATACTATTCCTGAATCACAAGTGCGATTAGTCAATTGCCCCCATACCTCACTTCCGGCAGCCGTGAGCCACGAACAATGCGCGGGTTGACTCAAATTGGTAAGTTAGTCAAGAGAAGAAGGTAACCTAAGGCAACATGTTAACCTGGAGTTGCTCGAGAACTAAACTTTTATGGGCGTAGCTAAGAGGTAAAGGACGTGGTAGCACACATACTACATGTTTGCAGCGTGTATGATGTGTAAATTACGTAGTTACTCACTCCGAATAATACAAGATAAAGTATGTTTGTGTGCATGAAAATATGCATTAATCGAAATAAAAAATTCTTTAATACCTAAAGAGTGATTGCCAGGTTAACATAGAGTGATTCGAGACGTTTTGCGTAATAAAAACGATATAACTTGGCCGTGTAATCGGAGACATCTATTCTGAGAAAAGCCTCAAGGTAAATACTTTCCGAGACACTAACGATTAAACAAAATTCTAATCATTATGTCATGATAATCATTCGTTTTAGATTTGGCACCATTCATGAAATATTTAAATTATTTTTGCTATCTGGTCCATGAAGTTAAGCAATATAGTGGTAGAGATTTCAACATTTTATTGAAATAATCTCATACCTGTTTATGAGTTTCTAAATTTATGCTGCAATGCAGTGATTTGTTATTTTAATCATTTATTCGGCATTGATCGATTAACACTCGGGATACCCTAGTAATACTGTCTTCAACTCTCTTGTGAAAATCATAGAAACTAAAACATTCATAGTGGAAATAATATTCTCGTTACGACTCGGCATCACAATACATTTAGTCTCCGCAGTCGGAAAAATCTCCAGTCCGCAGCAAGAATCCAACTGAACGAGTTTCAAAATCTGTTCCATGCGTTGCATCTTCAACAGCAAACTGTTATCATAAGCAAGGAACGCTCCCAATGCAAATAGGAACCTGCTATTATATGCAAGGTTATCGAGTCCCAAGCTCTAAAATGAAATGAAGTAGCTGATATCCGGCATTTGCAGGTATTGGTAGAATAATATTATTGTTCATGCTCTTCGTAGAATTTTCTCGATCTGAATTTTTTTAGATGAGCTGGTGAACTCCATGCGTCTACGCCGATATATTAATACCGTGCAAAAAATATATATATCGTATGAAGATTCAGAAATACAGTAGTTATTTTTGCATTTCCTAGAAGTATTTACGGGAGGGATTAATAATGTTATTCACTGTTTTGTTGGCTCGAAATTTGATTAAGTAATTTTATGTAGTTGCATGATTAAAATGTGTTTAATTTACTTCACTTTCGTGGCAAAGAAATGCGGCGATGGCATGCGTATCACTGACTTCAAATATTTGAATTAAAACCAAGTCTTAACATGACGCTTAAAAATTTAGCAGACTTGGATCTCGACTAAATAAGAACTTTATTTTGTCCTGGCTTGTTTTTAATCTCACTCGCTGGGAAGGAGGAACATCCTGGTGGATTAATCACACCTGCTCCTAGCTGCCTCCGTCTTATTTTCTTAGAGAGACTACCAGTTAATTTGGTCATTAAGACCACTGCAAACAGCGACCTCGAGAGTCTTCGTCTTCTGAGAAGTTCTATATATAAAAAAATTAATATTGTGTACTCGAATCAAATAGCAAATGAACTAGGATTTTATTTGCAAATTATGGAAAACTTTAGGAATATATTTAAATATCATACCTGTGGAGTGATTAGGATGAAAGAAGAAAAACTCTACCTTAGAAATCTTGTATCCTATTCAGTGTAAAGGCCATCAGATCAAACTATAACAAGACTACGTTCCTCTTCACTCAAGGCATGAGAGCACACAACTGCAGGAGCGATCATCACCTCGGAGCTTTGCGGAGATAGCGCGCGATTGTCGGGGATATTTGGGCGGGCATTAATTTCATTTATTCTCGTCCCGAGGCTTTGTACAGAGAATGGGCTCGATGAAGGCGTGCATTTGCTTGGGTCTACCGATTATGCTTGCAAATTCCTAGAAAGATACATGAGAGAGGAATTGACCAGACATAATAGATGTTATGTTATGCAATCGCGTATATGTTTAAAATTATTACTGACAAAGAAATATTTATTCATAGAGAGCTAGCGGTCTAAAAAGATCGATTAAAATATCTAATATGTTTTCACGTGAAGACCATTTGGTGATACCTTAGTAAGAAATAATCTTCAACACAATTTGATGAAAAGTTCCGAGTTTTGACTCAGTTAATTAAATGCCGCGATATCTCAATGATATGAGATGTATCCCAAATGTTCCTTTAATTTTGTCACTGAGGCGCAGTCCCCGTCCAATTGACCGCGCTATCCAATGCAGCGCCCATCAAAAGAAGCGCCAAATATGACGCGTTTATGGGGCATCAAAAGCGAGCCTCCTCACAGGCTCGGGTCGAGGTTATTAAAGTGCTTAAAAGTTTAATTAATGCCCGAATGAAGCGTTATTTCTGTCCTAGGCAATCAGTATTCATGGGATTTTTAATTAAACTAAATTCTCGACGCAGAGAGTTCCAGGCAGGTTTTAATGTTGGCTGAAGTTTTCTGTAAAGTTGTTGTGATAAGTTCAACTTCATTATCATTTCGAAGAGTTTAGCACAAAAAATTAGCATTTAATGTTCATTCTAGGTTCACTGGGTACATTATATTAGCTGAGAATCAATGAGGGAAGTGAAATAGAAAATTGAATACGAACGCCGAACTCGCAGTGCATGCAGACATCAAGAAGAAAATTCGAAGATGGTTTGACTCTTAATTTAGATTATCCTAAAGTAAATCATGTTATGAGGATGAATGTGTCGCGTGGACAGAGATCGCAGCAAGATCTCTCGCATCAGCAATTCTCCGGATGGCATGAGCCTGTTTTTACATTGGAGAGTTTTAGATAGGACGCCTCGGCATCTGGCGCTCGAAACTTGCGCTAGAGTTTTCCCGTTCACGCTCGAAATGCGCCGGAGTATTGACGGAGCTTGCCTTACTAGCAAACCTGGCAAGCTCTGCCTCTTCTGAATACTTCCTTCGCAATGGGATTTGTCAGCATTTTTGAGCTAAAAGGTAGAACTATGAACTCTATAGTTAATATCATTGAGGAAAATTTTGACGTCCCTCTAGGAATGATATCTCAGGCTGCCACAACTCTGATTATGATGAAGCTTGTGGATGTGAAATCCCGTGTTATTTGATTCGCAAGTGTCACTGATAAAATTTACGCTCACAGGTCCTTTTTGTCGACATTGTGATAAAAATGTAAAAAATAAATTTTTGTTGCAGACATACGCAATTTATACCACAAGTTTTCTG